TGAGGTAATATCTCAATGTTGTTTTGATTTGCATTTCTTTTATGGCTAGGAAGTTTGAGCATTTCCTCATGTGTCTATTGGCCATGCTTCTTTCCTCTTCAGAGAAGTTTCTCTTTAAGTCTTTAGCCCACTTATTTATTGGGCAGTTGTTTCTTTGAAGATTTGTTGTTTGGGGATTTAATTTTTTGAGTTCCAGGTTTATTTTAAAAATATGGAACGCTTCACAAATTTGCGTGTCATCCTTGTGCAGGGGCCATGCTAATCTTCTCTGTATCATTCCAATTTTAGTATATGTGTTGCTGAAGCGAATACTTAATAAGAATGCTTCTAATGCTGCTAAGAACTCTGAAATAAAGTTTCCATACATGAAATATTTCAACTAGTTTTCCATGAAGATAAAAGAAATTATAGAATTTTGCAAAAAATTCTGAATGAAATTTATGGCTGACTGACTCTTCCAGAACAGAGAAGCAAATATATTTCTCAAAAAATGAGTGTTCTGTGGTAAAGCACTTGCCTACCAGCCTGAGACCCTGGGTTAAGTCCTATAGACCACCCAAAAAATGCTTATAGTTGGAGAGTGAATATACTGACAAGTGACTATAGCCTAAAATTTATATTTTGATTGGTATAACATTTATGACAGGTAGTGAAGGCATGAAATAAGTTCTTCCAACCTCCTCAACCAGAGGAACAGGGAATACTTATGTAGCAGGAAGAAAGCATGCAGGCCAAGGAGGCCAATCTAGGTCCCCTGCTGGCTCAGCTACAGAATGATTTTGAGGCCCTGATCAAATCACACAATCTCTGAACATCTCAACTATCTAAAGAAGATTATATCTACTCAGAATTGTCATGGGTCAAATAACTAAAATTGCTTCAGAAGTTTTAGCATGGTAGTTTCTCAAAACAGTTTTAAGTTGAGAGGACTAAGGCAACTATCTGCTTATCTGAAGATATTCTCAAAAAGGTCTCACAGCCCAGTATCCAGTGAAAGGATCCTGTGACATCCAATATTTTCTACTATGCATCTTCCATTACACAAAAAACAAAGTGGAACAAAATTGAGGAATTTTTTTCATTTGGTTTTGTTTTTGATATTTTATTATTATCTATAAGTACTTGTATTTAACAAAGCAATTTATGAATACAGTGTATCTTGATCATTGTATCCCTTTCAACATTTTCACAAATCCCTCCCCTACTCATCCACCTCTCCTCCTCTTCATTAGTTTACCCCATTCCCCTTGACCTCACCCTACCTCTTTCTAGTACCTGCTTCTAGTTTTATTTTGCTGAACTTTCATTTTTGCTTTCTAAGGAATTATACTATTTGAAATCTCTCTTGATTCTACCATATTTTAGTTGATATATTTGTATATACTTGCATACTACCCAATGTATTTACTTATGAGTTTGTAAGTTAAATCTAGCCCCCCACATGTAAGAGGAAACATAGTCACTTGCCATATTCTTTGTGTCTCATTTATTTCTATTTCTATAATACAAGTTAGAATGATTATTCTGAAGAAGTAGTCATTAGATTATCATTTTATACATTTCATTGATGTAGAAATCAGTAATAAAAGAAACAAATTACAAAAAATTTCCATGGCAAAGCAACAAAGAAAAAATTTCTCTTTATGGTGATAACTATTTTTGGCTGGAAAGTGATATCTTCATTCCACTAGAAAGTGGAGAAAAATGATTTTTCACATGTGACTTAAAAAGAAATGAGATGAAATAATTGTTAGGTGATGTTATAAAGTGATAATCAACTTCTAAAATCTCACTACTCTTTCCTGTTCTTGATAAGAATGTCCGAGGAAATAAAGTTCATAAAATCAAAAGTATATAAACCACTCATGATGCTTGAGTGTATTTTCAGGATATATTTTACATTTAAGTGACTTCATGTTATTTCACATAATTAGAAGTGATCAGTGTTATTGACCCTTTGGTGAAGTTTTATTTAGAAAACTGTTTTTGAAGACCGAATGATGTGTGTGTGCGTGCACGCACGCACGTACCTGTGTATTTGAATATGTTAAGCCACTGACCTCCATAAAGAAAAAGAAAACTGAATGGTGGTTATACCTGCAGAGCTGCTGATAAGCAAAAATACCATATTCTGAATTCTGAAAGCATTATCCCACAAGATGAATGGAGAAGTCAGAAATAACATGACTTAATTTTATGATACCAGGTGTGGAGGTAGTTCTAGGAGCTGAGGGAAAATCTTGCTTTGATATATGAGTTTATTCAGTGAACTTGTCAGTGTCTCTGGAGCCATGAGATGTCATTGTGGCAAACCTTCCCTTTCTGTCCTCAGACTAAACCACGACTGTAAAACATTGAGACTCTGAGAATTATCTCAAAAGCCAAAAGGTTGTAAAGTAAAACATTGCTAGCAGGCACTAACATGGGTATCATGACTCTTTTCAGGTAGTAGGTGTAACCTTGAAGAAAAAGTGGCACTGTCTTCAAAAAAGTGACCTGACCCTGGCTTTGGTGGGTTTTTCTGCAAGAAGTAAAAAGCACCGCATGTGAATTATCCATCCTTTCTAGCTGACCACTGCTTTGTTCTAGAGTTCAGCATGAAAGGACTAATTTCTGTTTTGTTTCTGTTTTTGTTTTAGTGAGATGGCATGTCCGTTGCTAATTCTAGCTATTATAGTTGCACATGTAAAAATAATCTATGTAGTTTATTGATTGGTAGCATTTCAAATAAACAATATATTGAAATTTTGATCTGAAATTTTTTGAGATGCTTATCAATTGACTTTTTGCTTAGTCCAAGAAAAGTCTGAATTATTAGTTTTTGTAGTATGACTTAGGTTTCTTCTTTTAACTATAGCAAGAATTTAAAAATAAGCATGCCACTGTGTTTATTATTATATTACTAAAACTTCTTGGAGCATGAAAAGACTTCTTCACAAATAATTTTGCTCTTTTGAAAACATAAATAAACTGCAAAAGTACTTGTTATAAACCATCTTCAGTCTGCAAATGAGTGAAGCTTATAAAGATGTAATAAGTTATTAGCATATGTTTCAAGCAAATAATTTTATATTTGGAAAAATGTTAAACAGTTTAATAGTGCCATAATAAATCTTTCCCTAGAATTCAGAATCATATACATCTCTATTTTAGAAAGTTCACATTACTTCATTAAAGAAGAAACCTGCAATTCTTATGCACTCTTAACTTGTTAGGCAATGAACTATTAAATTTCCCTTTCTTCTTCCAGAAGATAGTTATTCTAAGGATTTTTGGTCTCATAATCTCAGAACACATATGAAAATGACTACCAATACATCTGCTAAGTAAAATCTAGTATTTTGTTGTTGCATTTTGAAATACCATGTTATCATTCAGTAGGGCTAGTTTTCAAGTCAAAACACACAAAAGAGACAAACTTCCAGCAATGTAAACAAATTACACATTTTAAACTCTATTAACAGTACAAAAACTTGCTCTTTGTTCTCATTAAGTAAAAGCTATTGGCTACATTTTAGGAATTCAATGCTTAAGAAAACCATTTTGTTCCCCAGAGTGAACGTACTTTCTAAGTTCTTACCCAAGATGATACAGTTTTAGCCTTTTGCATTGCATAGAAATGAGCAAGATTTATTAAGCTCTGGCATTAGTAGTGCCCCTAGGTTTTAATTCCCTTTTCAGGCAACACATCCTCATAGGTCTAGTTTTATCCTTTACCTATGATATCTCTGCTGGCTGTATTCATACTTTAAATAAATTTACAACACAGATAGTGCTTTATTCTATTAGTATAAACTTCCAGAAGGTTCTGCTCAAAGACCTGGGAAAATAAAAGTTTTTATTAGTTATTTAAAGATTATTTAATTTTTATATAATATCAAATGTTTCTAATTGGGCTGGAAGGTAATGTTTTGGGGTGGGTTTTTTTGGAGGGAAGGAGTGGGGTTTTTATGTGTTTGTTCTTGTCATGTGGTTTGAACTCTGGACCTACGCACTGTCCCTGAGTTTTTGTGCTCAAGGCTAGTGCTCTACCACTTGAGTTACAGTACCACTTCTGGCTTTTTGTGATTAACGCAGATAAAAGTCTCCAGACTTTCCTGCTTTCCTGCCTGGGCTGGCTTTGAACTGTGATCCTCAGATCTCAGCCACCTGAGTAGCTAAGGTCACAGGCATTGAGCCACTGGGCAGCTGTTTCCTTTTTAAAATCATATTTAAGTTCTAATAATCTGGTAAACTCAAATGTCACAGCATATCCTTTTATCATTCAAAATTCTGCTTGTATAAAACATGCAAAAAATGAGAGAGATATAGAAGGATCAGTGCCTCAATTAGAATCATCTTTACTTCTGGATTTATAGAGTTCCTTAGTTAAAAGACATTTCTAAAATTCAACTAAACTTTCCTGGCATCAAAAATCCATTGAAAATTACAGAAAAAAATTAATCTTTTTCATCAAGGTCATACTACCTCCACAAAGGAAGCTGGGATGAATTATTGGTATGTCGAGTCATTTATGAGATTTTTTTAAAATATTTTTAATGCCAATTCTTTCAAAAATGACAGACTCTAGAGACCACCCAGCAGAAGCCTTGTGTGTGAGTCAGATCCTGATCCCAACCCTGTCCAAAAGACCTGTCATTCAAAATATCTAGGGATTGTATATTCATAAATGAACATCATAGGCAGCTCATTATGTTAAAATCGATACTCTAAAAATGTTTGTGTCATGTTAATTGCCTTTAAATATATTATACATATAAAAGATATGTTAAAATTAAATATGTTAGCCGTGAAGGTGAAAAAAGTAGCTAACTAAAAGTTCACAATCTTTTTTCAGATTTTGTGTGTTTTCTCCTCAGCCCAAAGCCTCAAGATTCCAATTGCAGCAGCCTGCCTCTTCATTTCTGTTGGATTGCTCTTTAAACATTAGAATATCTTGTAATAAATCATAAGTTAAAGATTTCTCCTGACACAAGTCATTGTTGATTTCACTGTTATAGGGCAAAGGCTCTAGGGCGGCAGATAAGGCTGTTGCCATGGTGATGAAGGAGATACCGAGGGAGGAGTCTGCTGAAGAAAAGCCCCTCCTTACTATGACATCACAGGTGGGCAGACCCATAGGGTTCCTGTAGGAAGCTGACATATGTTAATATATCAGACAATGTGATCATTAACTAGAGGAGAAAAACATTAACTCCTGAGCCAATTTTTTTTTCAAGACAGTTTCCATGAAGCAACTGCACAAATATAAATGAAAACCAAAATTGCTAACAAAGAAAAACAAGAAAATATATTTAGTTATTTATTTATGGATATTAATTTTCATTACACAGCTCTAGCTTTAAAAAAAAAAAAAAAGAAAACGTACGTGCAAGTAAAACATATTGCTTCTTTAAAAGGAGTCTTGTTAACTTTGGGAAAGAAATAAGTTAATGGCACATTTGTATAACAATCAAAAAAACCAAATTCCTATGAACAAATACAGTTATATTGTATACATATGTCAGTTTACCAGTTGACTAAATTTTCTTGTATGTTAAATATATTTTTGTTGTGACTATGCATACTACATATTTGTCTATACATATTTATGTGGGTAACTAATTTACAGGAATGAGCCAGAAGTCCCTGAGTCCCCAAGCAGAAAATGACATTTGTGAGTCTTCTCATGCTTCATGACCTTGACAACATAAACACCAGGTCTATTAAAAGCACGAGGGCCTTTTTCAGCATTTATTCAAACAAGTATAGAAAAGTTTGCATTGTTATGCAAAGACACTGTGAGACTGTAGGTCCTGTATGTCTTCGGGGACTCTTGAAACACCCTGTAAGATCTACATAAATATGTATAATCAACTCATCACCACTCAGTGAAATTTAAATTCTTAAATGAAAAATATTTTACTTGCATTTATCTTATAATTTAGATTAGATTGTTATTTTAAACATTTCATTTTATTTCCATAATGCAATAGTAAACGCAGTGATTCAGTTCCGATTATATGCACATGTCTGGAATGAGAAAAGTGTCCACTTACAGTCCGCATGAAACACATTTATATCAGAAGCTAAATTATGGCAACTATTTTTAGCCTATCAGCAGATCTCATCTACAGCTGCTGCCAACATGTGTGGTTTTGCTTTAGTCTAAGTACTTTGTAAGTAACAAAAACAATAACATATAACCTCAAAATAGAATAATTTTTAAAAGATATATTAAAGATTCCCAGGACTTTGGGATACATTTTATGGAAGGTACTTTTTGTAACCATAATGAGGAGCTGCCTTTTCCTAGGGACATATAATAGTAATTGCAAAAAAGTCTACTCCATATTTATTAGGTTCTGAATTCTTTAATTTGTACAATGCCGTATGTACAGTTTTACATTTATCTCCTTCCTATCCGAGGCAGATCTTTGTGGATTCTATGTCCAAAATATTCCTTCCCCAGCCCCTCAGGTAAAGTTCTTGGTTGACCCCAGAGCCATACTCTTCTTATCCACTGATGTTGGCATAACTGCTACATCTATCAGGACTCTACAGGCTCCAATTCTTCCAATAAGTATTGGATGAGACCATGCATTACTTTGTACTTTTAAATAATCCTTTCTAAACATTCAGAATTACCAGTATAACCTAAACTTAGATGTAAAATCTAATGCAAAATGTCTGTTTTTTTTATTTTTTAGGAAAGAAATTAATTTTTACTATACTCTTATATTCAGAACATTTGTGTATACCAAGTTCCTTCTTTAATCCCTGTCTATTGTTGCATTAACTGTGTATGCAATATTAGCTATAATTTCACTGCATGAAGATTATGTGATGCTTTTTTTGATGCCTCATAAACTTGGTGTATACTGGCCAGTTTATGAATCACCAAAAAGAACCGATTCATAAAATTGAATGCACCTTTTGTGTTGATAATTTATCTGAATTAAGTGACAGTGGTGACATAATTATTTCTCAAATGTGGTTTTATGAGTTGATACACATTTTCTACTATACACAACTGGCTTCTTCCCTGCTATGCACCAGTGGCATGCACAAGCCAAAAAGATGCAGAATGATCTGAAAAAGTGAGTACTTACCATGGCAACCACAGCATCTACTCCGTGTGCCATATCACATTCTTATTGTTATCCTGTGTGAATGTACCAGTGTCTTGACACATTTGTTTCAGTGTTTCCTGTAAAGCCTCTATGACATAGTACTATATACATACTACTGAATACATCAACTCATCTCCATCACTGATATGTCTATGCCAGCTGCATGGCATGGACTCCATAAACATCTGGAGCTAATTACTATTTTCCCAATAATGTTTCTGGGATAATCTTAATGGATAAAATACACAATAAACCTTATTGCCTTTACCTTATTTAGTAATGGTTCACTCAATAGACTGTAGTTGTAAAATAGTCCTTTATTCCAGCATTTTAACTATATGATTAATATGGTGTATTCCACAACTTTTGGAACAAATTAGGTAAATATACTTGTGATGCCATCTGTAGTAGATTGGATGAAGTGAACAAGATAGAAATATTGGTCAGATGATCTAAATTTAGAATTTGTTGGTCCCCTGAGAGTTGTTCTTCTGGTTTATTGTATTAATTCAATCTGTATCAACAAACTAAATTAGATGTTGGTGACTTACACCATTAGTCCTAGCTATTCTGGAGACAGATATCCCAAGGCCAGCTGGGGTAAAAATTACAAGACCTCTCCCAGCCAATATATTAGGCATAGTGGCTCATATCTATCATTCCGGCTACCATGGGAAACATAAATAGGATCATCATGTTCTAGGCTGGCCTAGACAAAGCGAAGAGGCCTAAAGGTGGGGCACAAGAGGTAGAGATCTACCTAGCAAACAAGGTCCATATTTCTAATATCAGTGCTACTAGAAAAACAAAACAAGCTCAAGTTCATGCTGCCCTGATTGGCATGTAACTAATCAAACAATATATAAACAAGCATGTAGGGACAAAAGTTTCAAAGAGAAGAAAAATACATAAATCCTCAAGTCTTTGAGAAAAAGTCCTCTCTAGACCTATACGTCTAAGGCATCTAAATACTTTGAGCTTCTCAAATCTTAGATGTGCTACTAGATCTAAACCAAAAACAATTGGTGAAGGTAACTGTTTTAATAGTTTTTATGTTTATCTTATGTTGAAAGGAAATTTTAGGCATATTGGGTTAAATAAAAGGTATTTCTGAAGTTGTTTCTTTTTACTTTTAAAAAATGGCTACTTGAAAAGTTTGAATTACAAGACTCATCATATTTTTATTACATAGCACTGTTCTAAACTTATAATAGTATAAATAAGTGGGCTGGGAAAGTGGCTCAGTGGTAGAGCATTTGTCTTGCATGCCGGAGGCCCTGGGTTCAATTCCTCAGCACCACATAAGCAAAAAGTAAAAAGCCAGAAGTGGTGCTGTAGCTCAAGTGGTAGAGCGCTAGCCTTGAGCTGAAGAGCTGAAGGACAGCGCCCAGGCCCAGATGAACTCCGAACCCCCACAACCGAACTCCAAAAAAAAAAAAAAAATAGTATAAATAAGTAAAATTTTAGAAGGAAAACCATGATACAACAAAAGGTTGTGTCATAGAAAAAGGCATTATCTTTACAACAATAAATAATACTAGAGCTGGGCACCAGTGGCTCATGCCTGTAAACCTAGCTACACAGGAGGCTGAGATCTGAGGATCATGGTTCAAAGCCCATGAGAAAAGCAGAAAAGCCCATGAGACTCTTATCTCCAGTAAACCACTAGAAAACCGGTAGTGTTGCTGTGGCTCAAGCAGTAGAGTGCTGGCCTTGAACTGAAGAGCACAGGGATAGTGCCCAAGCCCCATGACCCACCAAAAAAAAAAAAAAAAAAAAGACACTAACAAGGATCTTTCTCTTTTTAAGAGCCCTGAGAAGTTTTCAATTTGACTCTATTTATTGGGTACTATCTTTTATAGCAAAGCACATGTCTCCATCCCATGTCTCTTCTGGTTAAAGGACATTTTCTTTTTTTCCAACACTAAGCTTTATCTATCCCTACTCTTTGTACCACAATACTGTTTTTGTGTATGTATCTAATAAATATTAAAAGAGTGATGTCGTTGACTGGAAGAACATCCTCAAGGCTACTAAAAATATGGCATTGTTTGGGTTTCAATTATCAACTTAAAATGATTATTTTAATTAAATTCTTCTAACTGCCTTAAAGTTAATGCTACCTAAACTTTATTTTATTTTAAGTCTAACTATCCTGTCTATAAAATATTGTAGGCAGTAGGCTGATAATTAGATCCCATCAAAGGGTTAACATTGTCACTGGGTTATCCTTGACAAGATGATAAACTAGGACTTTCACCTAGGAACTAGATTAGGCAAGTCATTAGTAATAATAACTCATAGAAGCTTAATTCTGTCAGATATTGGACCATACATAATAAAGCTCTAAAACTCTGAATGTTGAAGGGATACATGGTAATAATTTAATTACTTTGTCTTTATAATAGGTCGAATCATTTAACTTGGTTGTAATACTAGTGAATCTCTCAAAATATGGTCATTCTTTTCATAGACTCTACACAGTAGCTCAATTACAAACTATTGAAAACCTACTTAAGAAATGACATATTCTTTAAATCAACAGTGTCACATAGTAAAGGAATATTTCAGTGCACAAAGATAAGCTATTAAAAACATGTATGGCCAGTGGCTCACACCTGTAATTCTAGCTACATAAGACACTGAGATCTGAGGATCACGCTTCGAAGTCAGCCTGGGCAAAAAAAATCCATGAGACCCTTACCTCCAATAAACTAATCAGAAAAAGCCAAAAGTGGTACAGTGGCTCAAGTGGCAAAACATTAGCCTTAAGCACAAAGAGTCTCAGACATAGCACTCCAGGCTCTGAATTCAAGCCTAGGACTGACAAAGAAAAGAAAAGAAAAAAGCAAACAAAACAGACATAAACTTTTTCTGTTATTTAAATGAAGTAAAAAAGACAACGTATTAACCCAGTTTTTAAATAAACATCACAAATATTCAATTTTGGTCAACCATTTAAACTTGCTAACCTAAATATAATTGATTACTAA